ATAAGCGTTGTAACAGAAGATCTTGTGTTGCTATACAAATATTTACCACAACCAAGTAATGCACAGAGGCTGGCGTGTGTACAGCTCAAGACAATATTTCCTGTTTTGACACCATCCGCGTTAACAAAAAAACAACCAACTCTTCAAAGCAGGTGGAGACACCTACTGCACAAATTCATGCCTTCTGAAGCTGCGAGGCATCCCCTTACAGCTGCAGGATTAGTCAGTGTTTACCAGATTTTCTCTCAAAAGCATGCTTTATTATGATTCATTATTAGTGGTTATTAGTGGTTTGCATCTGCAAAATGTCACGAGCTAAATGGTTCATATTACAGCGTTAACTTTTTTTTTGGAATAGATAGATAGATAGATAGATGATAGATAGATAAATAGATAGATAGATAGATAGATAGATAGATAGATAGATAGATAGATAGATAGATAGATAGATAGATAGATAGATAGGTAGTTAGATGATAGATAGATAGATAGATAGATAGATAGATAGATAGATAGATGTGCATTATAAAGAAGTGGACTGATGGAGCATTTCCTTAGCATCTGCTCAAGCCAAAAACGGACATAACAGGCTGTACTTTTCCCCCTCTCTTGTCTGGCCTGCTCTTGGGTCATGGAAAAACTGACTTGTCCCCCAATACCCTTTTATGACGCTGCATGAGTCAGGCTTTAATGCGTTGGTTCCTGGCTGTTATTTTGACCAGTCAGATCATTTGTGATGACATAAGTGGCAGTATGACATCAATGGGAGATAAAAAAAAAAAAAAAAAAAAACGTATCTATTTGCTCATATTTCAGGGGAGATTAGGATATCAAAAATGTGTTCAAGCACTGAAACTGGTCTGTTTTTTTAATAGTTATGGAATTGTGAGTAAGTACAACAAAGACCATTAGCACAATGTAATTTAGATGAAGCACGCCAGATCATTTTTGGAATAGTTCACACCAAATATTTAAACTCTGTCATTAGACAGTATACAGAATAGGATGAATGTTCACGTTGCTCTTTTCAATACAATGAATGAATGTGAATGGTGACCAAGTCTTTTGGTCTTTTTTCCTCACAGATATCATATAATATAATATAATATTATATCTCCTATCTCCTATTATATCTCTTCTAAATATCTCCTTTTGTGATGTATGAGTAGAAAAAAAACATCATACTGGAAACAACATGAGAGTGAGTAAATGACAGGACTTTCATTTTGAAGAATGGTCCAATTAAAGGAGTAGTTCACTTTTCAAAAAACTTTTGCTGATAATTTACTCACCCCCATGTCATTCAAGATGTCTGTCTTTCTTTCTTCAGTCGAAAAGAAATTAAGGTTTTTGATGAAAACATTCCAGCATTTTTCTCCATTTAATTGAATTCAGTGGGAACCAAACGGTTCAAGGTCCAAAAGACACTTTCAGTCAGTGTTGTAGTCGAGACCACTTCACTCGAGTCCGAGTCGACACCGAGACCAGAGAGAGTCGAGTCCGAGTCAAGACCGAGTCCATAGAGAGTCGAGTCCGAGTCGACCAGAGAGAGTCGAGTCCGAGTCAAGACCGAGACCAGAGACGGTCGAGTCCGAGTCGAGACCGAGACCAGTGAGGGTTGATTACCTAATTTACTTTTATTTACTTAGAGAAATCTTTTTTTTTTTTTTTTTTACTGAATTTACTTAGAGTTTAAAAAATATGATCAGTTTAGGGTAAAAAGGCCACATAGTGGGTGGTGTTAAAAGTAATTTTATTACAATTTGTCATGCGCAGTTGTGCACTAGAAAATCACCAATCACTGGGCGTGTCAATCAATTTAAAGAAATATTTTATTAACATACATTAATAATCATGAAAAATATTTTTAATTGAACTCGAGTGGACTCGGGAATAATTCCGAGTCCTAAAAAAAAAAATGTTCGAGTACGAGTCAATTCCGAGTCCAAATGCACACGAGTCCATGACAAGACCCAGACCATTAAAATATGGTCTCGAGACCGAGTCCGAGACGAGTCCGAGTCTCGAGTACTACAACACTGCTTTCAGTACAAACTGCAAACAGTTCAAAGGGCTTTAAACGATTCCAGACGATGAATAAGGGTCTTATCAAGCGAAACGAACGCTCATTTAATAAATTAATAACAAAGTTTAAGTTTTATTTGCGATGCACGTTCGTCAAACTGCAACTGGTTCATCAAAATGAACAAATCTTTTTCTGAGTCAATTCGTTCGTTTCGTTTGTTGAATGAACCAAATGACTCAGAAAAAGATTTGTTCATTTTGATGAACGAGTTCGAACAGGAGAGTCACAAACGTGCATCACAGAACAGAGCAAGGCAACCATTTGAGCTTATAAAACTTAAACTTTGTTATTTATTTATTAAACGAGTGATCGTTTCGCTTGATTAGACCCTTATTCATCGCCTGGAATTGTTTAAAGCCCTTTGAACAGTTTGCACTGAAACTGTCTTTTGGACCTTGAACCGCTTGGTTACCAGTAAAGTTCATTATATGGAGAAAAATGCTGGAATGTTTTCATCAAAAACCTTAATTTCTTTTCGACTGAAGAATGAATGAAATGGACATTTGGATGACATGGGGGTGAGTAAATTATCAGCAAAAGTTTTTTTCAAAAGTGAACTACTCATTTAATGAATCAGTACCCAGATAGCAAACTGACATTGAATCAACGTGGAAATATGACATAGAAACAACGTTGATCTGACATAGTTTTGCTCATCGAATTAACGTTGAACCAACGTCAGACGCGTCATTCTTTCAAAACTAACGGAAAATCAACTTGAAATCAACGCGTTGTTTCAACGTTATGAAAGCAAACCAATTTTCGATTTTCATTTAGCTTTGAAGAATGCCGCGTCTGACGTTGGTTCAACGTTAATTCGATGAGCAAAATCAACGTTGTTTCAATGTCATGAGAGACGTCGTTTCCACGTTGATTCAATGTCAGTTTGCTGTCTGGGTAGTTTTCATATCTAACATCATCTAAACCCTAATTTAAATCAGCATACATTCAGTGGAAAATTTTAACTTTGCCTTCTTTTTAAAAACACTGTTCTGTGTGAAGAAACATCAGGTGTGCAGAGCAGCAGAGAAAGCCTCCATGTTTAAACAGCTATTTTTACATTTAGCCTTGAAGTCAGCCAGCTGTAAGCTTTGGGCCTTGGTTGAGCAATTCAACTTTTGTTTATACTCAGAATAGTTTGTATACATGGTTCCTTATCACCTCTAGTTCCTTATCACCTTAAGCATCAAACACCCCATTAGGTTTTTAGCAATGTTTTCATTTGTCGTTTACATCTTAAAAGCTCCCCTGACTGGAATTTAGCGCTTAGCATGTGGTTGCTAATGAGTGACTTATTTACTCAAGGGAAATGTGAGCAGGACTTTAAAGTTACCTCCTTGTGGAGTATGCAAATCATAGAGTTATCTTGAAATATAACACAAAGGTGTAGGCCTCAGTTGTAAACTATAAGTTGCGGTTTATATATCAGTAAGTGCTGATAAACTAACCTACTACTAAAGTGAATACCTGGGTTGGATTTGCATGAATGAATGTTCAGGTGTTCTTAGTTGTGTTTATATAGCCTAGTTTTTATGCCTTTTTGTGAGCATGGTTTTGTATGAGGCTGTCTCCTAAGCTCTTTGCTTACAGGCAGATTGTTATCAATGTAAGTGGTGTATACCGGAGGTTCCGCACTAAATAAACTGAGGGTTGGGATAGAAACTGTTTCCATAGCCTCGGCATTGAGCCCTTAGACCGAAGCAGGGAGTCAGTCTTGCCCAGCCTGTGTCCAAACGCTGCTTGACCAAGGCCATCAGGGATGTGGGGGAGGGAGAATTTGAGCTGATAGCTGCTGTGAGTTAAACAGGTGTCAAATGTACTTGTTCCCAGAAATTGTGAGAATGTCCTGTTTGCTTTACACCACATGTAATATGTTTAGTGTCTGTCTTTAAAATGTGTGACAAGATCAACAGTCCATATCCTACATTTAAAATGGTGACTGGTTTCTATTTGTGGTTTATGCAACACACAATTCAAAACACAATCGATTATTTTAATAAGAGCAAAATGGACTGATCTGATCTTAATGCTGGTGCACGTAGGACAGGTTCGCTGTAGCCTACTCAGGTACAAAATAAACAAGTCTGTGTTTGATCTGTCTGATGCCACAGTTTATGAAAAGGGTGGTTCTCTGCACACACTTGTACAAATAAAGGTTCCAAGTAGAAGAGTTTTTAAGTTTCACAAAGGATTTTTTATTTTCTAACATTTTTTTCTTTAAACAACCATGGTTCTGGCGCTTTAAACCAATGTATTTTTTATTTTTTTATCCTCAAATAATAGGATCAAGTAACATTTTAGCATTTGACACACAAGTCATTCCATATATATATATATATATATATATATATATGAAGAGTTCAGATGCAAAAGCCTCTAAATGCCATTTGAAATTTTCTTCTTTAATGATGATTTTTATCAAACTTGTATATTTAAGTTCAGTAATTTCACTTAAATAACAATTAATAGGTAATTATCATTGCAATTTAATTGAAATCACTGAACTTAAATATAGAAGCTTGATAAAAATGATCATTCTAGAAGAAAATTTCAAATGGCACTTAGAGGCTTTTGCATCTGAACTCGTCATATATATATATATATATATATATATATATATATATATATAGAGAGAGAGAGAGAGAGAGAGAGAGAGAGAGAGAGAGAGAGAGAGCTTAGATTATTAAAATAAATGTATTTTCTATAAAAAAAAATTTCCCAATTTAAAAAAAAAGAAAAGTAGTAATATATGTTTTCTTGGTTTAGTATAATTGCTTTAATAAACAATGCATAAACCCACACTGGATGTGAAGATCCTGATGTCAAAAAGGGAAATAAGTCCAAGAAAAGCACAATGATATAATAATATTAATAGTCCCCAAAGAATATAGCACAAGAAGACATCACATTAAAGTAAAGCTTTTAAAGAAATAAGTATATGGCCCATTTGACATGCAAATGTCTAGGCAAATATTACTCTTGATAAAGTGCCATGGAAATAGTAATCCCTATCAATTTAATCATGTAAAGGAAACACACCATTGCAATGTCTGCATATTTCTTTCTTGCAAAATAGAATGATATAAGCTAAATAAACGTATTCATAAATAGAAAGTCTCCTAATGTAACGCACCAGAGTATGTGCATTTGCATTGGCTTTAAAAGTGCTAAAGCACCTGCTGCAGCATCACAGACCGCTATTATCATCATCCGAAAGCGTGAACACAGTTTCAGATCGCTACTTCCGATGCTTGTGCCAGCTCATGGGTGACTCGAGAAGAAACAGATCCCTCCTTTGATTGGCCACAAAAGCGCTACGTGGACATCGAGCAGCAACAGGTAGAGCGCGTGACCGTTATCATGTCATTCTGACTGCGGCTGCCAGGACGACAACAGCGCTTCACGTCAACGAATTATCGGCTCTTATCGCGCAAACATCATCTCGAGTTTGGTGGAAATTTATTTTGAGGTAAGCAAAACTTTTTTTTCTCCACCCGAAAGCAGAGATGATTGATTGACAGCTTATGAGACAGCAGCGACAACGTGTAGTGACGATGATGTTGCTCACTTTATGAGTCTAGTTTACCCGCATGGCTTAATATGATCCATTTCATTTTCAGTTTATATTTTTTAACTATTGAACAGAGCAGGTATAAATGATATGCTACCAACAGGGATAAATATTACACATTATCCAAAATTATGTATAACAATTAGTATAACAATTTTAAGCTTTGCATAGTATACTATAGAGAGCACTTGATTATTGAAGCCATTTATTCTGATATATGAAGTTATGATGTTAATTTCCTCAAATCAAATGTGAATTATAATATTCTAGGGCCTACACCAGGGTGTGGGGGAGTCAAGCATGAAGTCCAAAGGAAAGGGGTCAAAGCGCTGCAGACAGTCTTGGGCAGAGCAGGATGACCCAGACTTTACGCTGGAAACAGAGCCAGGTTCCAGCGAGCAGGAGGGTTCAGAGGCGTCCGTGAGGCTGGGTGGGACGTGGAGAACACTGAGGGGCGAGGGGCACGGTCGTACCCGCCGCAGGCGGCAGCACGCCAACGCTAAGGAACGCAACGTCCGCAGACTGGAGAGTAACGAGAGAGAGAGGCAGAGGATGCACAAACTCAACAACGCCTTTCAGGCCCTACGGGAGACCATTCCTCATGTCAAAACTGACAAGAAACTTTCCAAGATCGAGACTCTCACGCTGGCCAAGAATTACATCAAGGCCTTAACCACCATAATCTTGGGCATGTCGAATGCCTGCCTGCCTCACACCGAGAGTCACATGGAGGCTAACGCCTCCCGGATCCTCCAGTGCTATCAGCAGCATCTACAAGAGGAGGGAGAGGAAGACCTGTCCAAATATCTGAGCCAAATTCACAGCTTCAGTCAGGGCAGCTAACACGCAATGCCCCAGAACAGACTCAGTGAGCGATATATATATATATACACGCTACATGGATGATGACGATGACGAATACCAGCTCTTTAGACTCACGAAAAGGTCCATTCGAGTTTACAAGCTAAAGCTGGTCCATAAATAGGCTCATTTATGTATACAGTATGCACAGATTATAACAACATGTTGCCCACAAACAGTGTGGATGTTATTTGTCATCATCTATCTTAATTGTTAGCTAGTGACCCTTTGGATTATGAAGGGACATAATCTACTGGTTCACCCGAAATGACACAAAAGATGCCCATTGAAATTGAATGGGGTCCAAAACAAGACAGGACCCCCTGATTTTCATTGCATGGATAAATATCTTCTTTTGTGTTCTGCAGAAAACAGCTTTGACATAGATGACAGAATTTTCATTTTTGGGTGAACTCTATCCTTTTAACAGGGTAAGCTTTTCATAGAAAAAAAATGCAAAGCTGTGGAACAGATTTCATATTTATTGAGAGGACACGAACCATGCACATATGACACTGAGAGGACTCCACTGTCCTTACCCTGTCTACATTTAATCATTTAAAACTATATTATCATTTTCAGCTTTTTCCAGTAGTTTCTCTCATGTCTGCATACAATTTCTTTATATGTACAGAAGCAACCTTAAATAATGCCCACAATTGACGCAGTTTCACATTATTACTCATAAATAATCCAAATTTATACATAAATAAAACCAACTCTTCATCCTGATAAAAACCATTTGGAAAGATTTAGTATAAATACTGTTACTTTCGGAAATTTGTGCTGCCTTTAAACAGAATTATACTACATACACGTCTATGAGTGAAATATGCAGACATCCTGAGAAATAAATGTTTCACAATATTGACTTCACATTGCCAAGCCAAAACTAAATACAGCAAAAGCGTCCAAATTGCACTACCGTTCAAAACTTTTGGGGTCTGTAGAATTTGTTTTCTATTTTAATATATTTTAAAATGTAATTTATTCCTTTGAAGGTGAAGGTGAAGCGGCCATTACTCCAGTCTTCAGTGTCGCAAGATCTTTCAGAAATTATTCTAATGTGCTGATTTGGTGCTCAAGTGACATTGTTTCATATTATCAATGTTGTGCTGCTTAATATTTTGTAGAAACCCTGAAACAAATTTCTTTCAAGATTCTTCGATGAATAGAAATTATTTGAAATAGAAAAGTCTTTACTCTCTATTTTGGCCAATTTAATGCATCCTTGCTCGCTTAATAAAAGCATATATCTATATTAAAAAAAAAAAAATCTTACTGACCCCGAACTTTGGAAATGTGGTGTATTTGTACAGTATCACTGTGCCATCTCACCATAAATAACCAATAACCGGATACAAGCAGATGATGAAAGTATTACAGAATATTTTATGACACTGGAGCCGTGCTGTAAAATCCCAGACGCAGATGTTTTTTTAAAACTGTTTTGTGTGTGATGTTTAATATAAAATGCTTGTAGATTACCTTCAGTAGCTTACACTGTGACATTTTTTTGTATTTAATGCCCCTGATTTCAAATAAAGAATTAAAAAAAAATAAAAGCTAATGGGCAATTGTGATGTGCCCACAGACGAACATTAAATTGAGATCATCTTTAAAAAGGAGAGGGCATTACTGGAAGTAGCCTCATTATTCAAGAGAGCCCGCAAAACAAGAAAAAAATGTGAATTCAAAATACACAGCCATCTACATTTTCGGGAACATGAGACGGATTTTTTTTTTTTTTTGATTGGAAATGATTAACTGTTGCTCTATACAACAGAAGTACTACAGCAAGGATACAATTATGGCTACAGTTAGAGATGGTTAGCATGAAGAGCTCAGCTGTTTGACTAACAGCCCACTGGATTTCCGTTCATCTCTGGCTGGTCACCGGTTTGCAGTGGACTGCGTGTTGCCGTTCGGTTGCTTCCATTGTCAGTCAGGGACGACATCAGGATACGAGGTGCCTCTATTGCATTTCCTCTAACTGTTATGTGATCCCATCCACCCTGATAGAAGCAGATCATTTCTTATTTTCTATCCGTTCTGTACTACTAGTGAACATAAAGATGACATCAGCAGTGCTCACCCCAATGCCATAGTCCCACGAATGTCCTTTTGGTTCCGTCGGCAGCACCCCCAGCCGGCGACACACAGTGCCACAGCTCAAACTGTGACTGCCCTGCACCTTATCGGCAATGATCCACACCTTGGGAAAGACACACATCTGGCATTTAGCAGAGAAGAAAACCTAGAATAGTTAGGCTGCAACAAATAGTTACACGGAAATGGTCTAGACCTGGTCCAGAGGTCCAACGGACACTTTGCGCACGTTATTGGAGATGTGCTCCCACGATGAGCCCTGAGGGTAACTGGGGGTCACACCATGTCTGTACCACAGGTTACCTGCTCATACAAAACCACACATATAATAACTAATATGGCAGTTATTGCCATTTTTATTTGACAGTTTTAAAGAAAGATCATGTGTAGCACTGCCAATTGCTTTAGACTGATATTTAAGATATTTCTTATATATCAGTCTATTTTATCATATAATATATATTATAATATAATACTGACATAGATAACATAGATAATCATCATTGCCAAAAATAAGTGCAGTGCAGTCTAAGGCAATTGGCAAATATATATATATATATATATATATATAATAACTAAATGCATCTGGGGTCAGTAAGTTTTAAAAGAAAAGTATGGAGAAAAAAAAAAGCTCACCAAGGCTACATTCATTTTGCTTAAAAAAATAAATACAGTAAAAACAGTAATAATGTGAAATATTACTTATAATTTAAAGAAGTCAATTCTATATTAATATATATTTTAAATATGTAATTTATTCCTCTAATGGCAAAGATTTTTTTACATAAAAACCATGATACAATTCTTTCAAGATTATTTGATGAATAGAACATTTAAATGAACAGCATTTATTTGAAATAGAAATCTTGAAATAGAAATCCCTGACTCCTTGCTGAATAAAAGTTAAAACTTTTTTTTATTATTTTACTGATCCCCCAACTCTTGTGTGTGTGTGTGAATATATATATATATATATATATATATATATATATATATATATATATATATATACACCAATGCTGCAATTATTTGATAAAAAATACAAAAAAACAGTAATATTGTGAAATATTACAATTTAAAACAGCGGTTTTCTATGTAAATAGTGAAGTGTAATTTATTCCTGTGATCAAAGCTGAATTTACAGCATGATCCTACAGAAATTAATATAATATGATGCTCAAGAAACATTTATGATTATTGTGCATGTTGAAAACAGTTTTTTTACATTTTTATTTCAGGATTCTTTGATGAATAGAAAGTTCAAAAGAACAGAATTGATCTGAAATGGAAAGCTTTTGTAACATTAATCACTACCATTCAAAGGTTTGGGGTCAGTAAGAAATTAGAAAATACTTTTATTCATCAAGGATGAGTTAAATTGATCAAAAGTTACAGTAAAGACATTTATAATGTTAGAAGAGATTATATTTTAAATAAATGCTGTTCTTTTGAACTTTCTATTCATTATAGAATTTTTGGGGGAAAAATGGTACATAACTATTTTCAACATTGAAAATAATAATTTATGTTTTTTGAGCATAAAATCAGCATATTAGAATGATTTCTGAAGGATCATGCGACACTGAAAACTGATGTGTAATCAGCAACAGTAATGATGTTGAAAATTCAGCTTTCAAATTATATTTTAAAATATATTAAAATAGAAAACAGTCATTTTAAATTGTCATAATATTTCACAATATTACTGTTTGTCATTTTTGTTTTTCATCAAATAAAGCAGCCTTGGTGAGCAGAAGAGACTTCATTTAAAAACATAAAAAATCTTACTGATCTAAAACTTTTGACCGGTAGTGTATATATATATATATATATATATATATATATATATATATATATATTTAAAAAACATCCGAATTGATTGCTTGTGTTTTAATGCATTATATTGTCTAAAGGTGTAACAATGAATAGATAAGTATTAAAAGCCTGGCTTCACAGACGGGACTTAGATTAAGCCAGGATTTGGCCTTAGTTTATCCAGGACATTTAAGTTGCTTTGTATAAACGTGCCTTAGAAAACAACAGTACTGGTGTGCATCTTGACGTCAGTGCAAGTAGCGTTCTGTTAAAACAGCTCAAACATGCAATTTAGTCTGGGACTAGGCTTGAGCCTTCCGTGTGAAACCAGGGGATAATGTTTTATATCTGTAGTTAAAACGACTCATAGACCATACAATGCATTATAAGGTGCATTAAAAGGCATAATTAATGCATTAAAAAATACTTTTATGATAAAGTGTTACCAATATATTCCAGTCGCCACTATAGTATGAACACCTTTTTATCAGTATGATGTGCATGGGTGTACCATTTTCATCCACTGTGTATACAGACGTCCTGCCCACTGACACCTGTTTAAGCTTCTGTCCGGTTGGAGAGGGGATGTGGTACCAGCAATCTCCTGCAAACAGATCAAACCTTTCTAATGCTGCTGCAGAAATACCACAGGCAATGCTGTGAAATCAGCATGACAGGAATGACTTGCACTAAAATGTAACATGAGAGAAGTGTATATTGCTTTATATTCATGGGTTTGTGATACAGTAGGTTATTCCCTCACCTGCCAGGTTCTCAGCGGACACAGAGCCCCTATAGAACGCAGAGCCATCCTTAGCGATGGCCCAAACCTGGTGAACGCCACCTATGGAAATCGACTTGAAAGGCTGGTCAGTTCCCACATGCAACCATGAGGACCCCTGCGAGCAAGCCACATCATCAGTCATGATTGCACCATTCTAGGAAATCTCTCACAGTGATAATGCTAAATAAGTTTGTACAGTATTTGTACATCAATTGCATGGAAATGAAAAATCAGGAACTTGGCTCTTACCCCAGGTGTCAGTGAGGTGACACCCAAGCGGCACAAGACGTCTCCTTTGTTGCTGATGGCCCATAATGGCACCTGTTCCACTGTGCTCTTTGGCCCACAAGGCAAGATTGTTATGTCACTCAACGCTATAGGCGGGACTTCCTGCCAGGGGCCGGTTGTTGTGAGTTTACACTTTCTAAGGTGAAAGAAGAACGGATGAGATTTGGTGATGGGAATCGAGTTTAATCAAAACAAAAATTGTCCCTTTACGATTACAAAAAAACTTTCTTTTAGTAATTTTAAGGAAGTGCACCAACCCGGAATAAATGAACTAAACAGAAATACTAAAACAATGTTATTTTTGGTTACATTTTTAAATTTTCTTTCTTTCTTTTTCTACCATTTATTACTAAAAATAACGTAAACTCGAGCGTTAAAGCAATACTGTGCAGACCCAATATATATCAGAGTACATACACTCACCTAAAGGATTATTAGGAACACCATAGTAATACTGTGTTTGACCCAATTTCACCTTCAGAACTGCCTTAATTCTACGTGGCATTGATTCAACAAGGTGCTGAAAGCATTCTTTAGAAATGTTCATATGGATAGGATAGCATCTTGCTGTTGATGGAGATTTTGTGGGATGCACATCTAGCTCCTGTTCCACCACATCCAAAAGATGCTCTATTGGGTTGAGATCTGGTGACTGCGGTGGCCATTTTAGTACAGTGAACTCATTTCAAAAAACCAATTTGAAATGATTCGAGCTTTGTGACATAGTGCATTAACCAGCTGGATGTAGCCATCATTGGATGGCTACATGGTGGCCATAAATGGATGGACATGGTCAGAAACAATACTCAGGTAGGCCGTGGCATTTAAACGATGCCCAATTGGCACTAAGTGGCCTAAAGTGTGCCAAAAAACATCCCCCACAACATTACGCCACCACCACCAGCCTGCACAGTGGTAACAAGGCATGATGGATCCATGTTCTCATTCTGTTTACGCCAAATTCTGACTCTACCATCTGAATGTCTCAACAGAAATCGAGACTCATCAGACCAGGCAACATTTTTCCAGTCTTCAACTGTCCAATGTTGGTGAGCTCTTGCAAATTGTAGCCTCTTTTTCCTATTTGTAGTGGAGATGAGTGGTTCCCGGTGGGGTCTTCTGCTGTTGTAGCCCATCCGCCTAAAGGTTGTGCGTGTTGTGGCTTCACAAATGTTTTGCTGCACCTCGGTTGTAACGAGTGGTTATTTCAGTCAAAGTTGCTCTTCTATCAGCTTGAATCAGTCGGCCCATTCTCCTCTGACCTCTAGCATCAACAAGGCATTTTCGCCCACAGGACTGCCGCATACTGGATGTTTTTCCCTTTTCACACCATTCTTTGTAAACCCTAGAAATGGTTGTCACAGTAACTGAGCAAATTGTGAAATTCTCAGATCGGCCCATCTGGCACCAACAACCATGCCACGCTCAAAATTGCTTAAATCCCCTTTCTTTCCCATTCTGACATTCAGTTTGAAGTTCAGGAGATTGTCTTGACCAACATTTAACATTTATTCATTTAGCTGACGCTTTTATCCAAAACGACGTACAATTGCTATATATGTCAGAGGTCGCAGGCCTCTGGAGCAACTAGGGGTTAAGTGTCTTGCTCAGGGACACATTGGTGTCTCACAGTGGATTCGAAACCGGGTCTCTCACACCAAAGGCATGTGTCTTATCTACTGTGCCATCACCACCAGGACCATACCCCTAAATGCATTGAAGCAACTGCCATGTGATTGGTTGATTAGATAACTGTATTAATGAGAAATTGAACAGGTGTTCCTAATAATCCTTTAGGTGAGTGTATTTTTTGCCATTGATTAGTAGCTTCCCCACTTTTGAAAAGCTTTTGAAAAGTCACCACCTTTTTATCAGTGTGATGTGTAAAGCCATTCATCCACTGTGTATAAAGACAAAAGAATCAAATTTTAAAATTTCTTTTTTACGCCATATTATATTAACATTATATTACTATAATACCCCATATTATATTAACTTTTTACTAAAAAAAAAAACTAAATTAATTCTTCCAAATTTTAGTATGCTGGTACAGGCAAAACGTAGATGTTCAAAAACCTTTAACAGAATCAAATGTCATAAAAATCCTTCACTTACAGTACTTACTCACCCAAGTCAATAACAAAAGTTGCACAATTAACAAAGAAACTATGCAAGACATTTAAATCGATACATAAAAAAATAAATAGATAAAAGTCCCAACACTAAGGACAAAAGAGACCATGATAAACAGACCTGGAGAGAGCTGACTATGAAATCAAAATTGACAAATCTTGTTTTTTTTTTTTTTTAAATATTGTAATATTTATTAGAAATTATTTATCCATGCACATAATAATTGTTTTTTAATTCATGCGCTCACGTATACTTCAGTCAAAATAACTTCCCTTCCTTCCTATGATCACATCTCTTCTCATCTCTGATGATGCGTTCATTGGCATGAGGGCGGGACAACCAGTCACTCACATGATGTCACAGCATAGCAAATCACAAAGTTCCACCCTACATTTTTTCTTGTTCGTGAAGCCATTTCACTCGGATATACACCACATCACAGTATGGAAGAAAAGACTACCGCAACTTCTATTTTATGTCGACTTTAAACATTTACTTAAACAGCGCTACATACCTTGCCCAACGCCTGCGGCGAACAAAGTCCTTCAGTGTTTTATTTCCGTGGTACGACCTAGATTAAAACATCGAATGTTACATTCACACACAAAAAAAAGGAGTTAGGTCACTCTCACACGTGGTAATACGAAACCTGCTACGTTTACATGCCCAGGTAATAAAAGAGACAAGCAAATTTTACGGCCAACATAACTTACGCAGGAAAGTCAGCTGCATACTGCCAGCCCTCTCTGTCTGTCCCTCCTGCCACAGCAAAGTCAACAGTCCAGTCTGACACCTGCAAAGTATCAACACAAACAAACATTTGCTGCTATAAAGCAACCAGACAACATTCCTTGTCAACTTATTTATGTATTGGGAGAAAATGGATATCGGCACAAACCCAAGTCCAGTGGGGGGAGGGTGGTTTGGTGTTGCTTTTAGTGCACTCCTTCAGACCGGAGGCATCGCTCCACATGTAACGGTCAGTAGGGAGACCCCTGGAGGAGAAACAGTGAGTCACAGCAGTGAGCGTAGTGAACACTTCTGAATTACAAACATCATGCTCTGGTCTATATTAACCTGTTAGTGTAACCAGAGACAGGATTCCAGCGCTGGTTCTCATAGATGTAAACACTCTTCAGATCAGTCTGTGTGTAGATGTTATCTGTGCTGCTTGTCAAACCTGTATGTGTGAGATAAACATGTTATATAACTAAAATACATGAAAAACGATTGGTTTAGAAAGAGAGGTGATGCATTTACCCTGAAAGAAGCCTCCTCCATAGCCTCCTGTGTGGACCCAGGCGGTGTGGTCATAGCCGATCCCCCACACCACACCAAGACTGTTGGACTCAAGAACACGCAAATGCCCTCCGACTTGACGCCAGAACCTGTCCATGATGATATAGATTTTGATTTCATTTTTTTTCTGAGAGCAGTCATTTTTTGCTATTCATGAATTCATTGCTATATGGCAACAGCGAGACAATGCACAAACGTAACAGGTTGATGAATTTACACTATTGTTCAAAAGTTTGGGGTTAGTAAAATTTTTTTAAAAGCATTTAATACTTTTATTCGGTAAGGATGTATTCAATTAATTAAAAGTGACAGACTTTTACATTGTGACAAAGGATTTCTACTGGTGGTCTTTTAAACTTTCTATTCATCAAATAATGCTGAAAAAAATATCAGTTAACTGTTTTTAACTTTGATAATGATAAGAAGTGTTTCATGAGCACCAAATAGGCAAATTGATTTCTGAAGGATCATGTGACACTAAAGACTGGAGTAATGATACTGAAAATTCAGCTTTGCCATCACAGGAATAAATTTCGTTTTGTACATGCAAAAAAAAAAAATGCATAACTGGTGAGCATAAGATCGGTGAGAAAATCTCACCGATCCCAAACCTTTGAATAGTAGTATATGATTAATTCTCTTCTGACATCTTCAAAATATGTTTCATCTATGTTAAACCTGTAGAAAATGTTTTTTTTGGCTTTTGTCAGACTAAGTTTATTTTGGTATAAGGTAATGATGTGGATTTCTGATGTTGTATGATGTTAATGAACTATTATTATTTCTTTCCATTTGTCATAAATTTAGCTTGGTGTGCTGTAATAACAGCAGTATTAGTGACAATATTCTTAAGAAAATGTGCATTAGAGATTCGCTTGATTTTAACACTTCTTAGATAGATAAATAGGTAGCCCTCAAATCGTATTCACTTTATAGCCCTTAAAATCCTGTAATTGGCTTTATGCACAGCTGCACTACTTCCTGAACTTTAGCCAGCTACTTTTTTCTGTCTGCCATTATTGGGCAAACTTGATTAATTCAGGTGTGTCTGATTATTGTTGCCGTGACTACTGAGGTCAGAAACACCTGAATTAATCAGTTTGTCCTATAATGGAAGACAGGAAACAAGGAGCTGGCTGAAGTTTAGGAAGTAGTGCAGCTGTGCATAAAGCCAATTATGACTCAGGTGTGATCCTAATTTTTATTTATCACAAATGTTATATCACTGTCTTCGATAAAGTTTTGTCTATCCATTTATGGTGTTTTTTTTTTATTTTAGGGGTATTTTTGAATTTATTTACTTCAAAAAGTACCATATTTTCTATGTAAATTATGCTTATTTTGAGGTTTTATTTTTATAACTACATTAAAATATAATTCCAATAAGTTCTTAGAGCTAAAACCTAAAGATGAAGTGACTTTGCTGTCACCTGGTGTCTTATTTTAGAATGCTCTAAATTACAGTTTTTCCCATTCATTTCTACGGGTGCCCATTTTTGACCCAAATACAAGATTAAGGAGTTTTTTTCACCCACTTAACATTGTAGAATTGAGTCAAAAAATTGTGTGTGTTCAGGAGGCAAACATTTATCCAGAATACTATGGAAGCTTGTTTCCGCCACTGAATGAAAAATATAAAAGGTAATTGCGACTTTTTATCTCACAATTCGGACTTTTTTTCTCACAATTGTGAGTTTAGTTCTCGCAATTCTGACATTATTTCTCAGAATTGCGAGATGGAAAGTCAGAATTGTGAGATATAAAGTCAGAATTGCGTGATATAAAGTCAGAATTGCGAGATATAAAGTCGCAAGTGCGAGATATAAAGTCAGAATTGCGTGATATAAAGTCAGAATTGCGAGATATGAAGTCAGAATTGCGAGTTATAAAGTCAGAATTGCAAGATATAAAGTCAGAATTGCGAGTTATAAAGTCAGAATTGCTAGATATAAAGTCGCAATTGCGTGTTATAAAGTCAGAAATGCATGATATAAAGTCAGAATTCTGAGATTTAAACTATTCTGAGGGGGGAAAAAATGATGTCTTTTTTTCCCCTTAGAATTGGCCTAATAAGTCGCAATTGCGAGTTTATATCACATAATTCTGAGAAAAGATGTCAAAATTTCGACATATAAACTCGCAATTATGTGTTATAAAGTCACAATTGCGAGATGTAATCTTTTTTTCTCAGAATTGCGACTTTATATCACACAATTCTGACTTTATATCTCGCAATTCTGACTTTATATCTCGCAATTCTGACTTTATATCACACAATTCTGACTTTATATCTCGCAATTCTGACTTTATATCTCGCAATTCTGACTTTATATCTCGCAATTCTGACTTTATAACACACAATTCTGACTTTATAACTCGCAATTGCGACTTTATATCACGCAATTCTGAGAAATAAAGTCAGAATTGTGAGATATAAACTCGCAATTGTGAGAAAAAAAGTCAGAATTGTGAGAAAAAAAGTCAGAATTGTGAGATAAAAAGTCACAATTATTTATTATATTTTTTTATTCAGTGGCGGAAACAAGCTTCCATAGAATACAGTTTTAGGGTTAAAAGAAAAAAAAATCTATTCTGGCAATGGAACATTTGAAGACTTTACAAATTAAGTTTAAAGCTATTATAATCCTTAAAAGTAGGAAGTGTGTATATATACTTCTTCACATAAAATCAATCAATCAGTCATCTGATTCTTACATCTGATCACATGGTGTAGGGTAGGGAGATGCCTCAAGGTCTTTTGTTGGTTCGCTCACAAAGATGTCACCTTTACAGGTGACTGACCAGATGGCTTGTTTGGATGGAGGGCCCTGAACGCTTCTAGAGTCACAGCAGGACACACTGAGCAGAGCCAGCTGATGGGATGAACAAACTGTCAGTCAAACTGCAAGGAAATCACAATTAGATTTTTCCAGTGATTCATGCTCTCTCCTCACCCAGTCATACATCTCCAGCTCTGTGGCAGCAGCCAGGCGGATGGGCCATCTCTGTTTGGTTCGCTCTGCTGTATAGATAGCAAATGTGTGTTTGGAGTCATTCAATACTGGCACCAGGATTGTCACTTCGTTTATGAACACGTGGAGATACTGGACAAAGAATCAAAGCAAAATAGAGGTTAAATTGATCAAATGCGTCAATCTATACTACATGAAATGACTTTACAAACACAGCTTTGTGTCCTGTGTAGATGCACCACTGTTGAAAAGTTTGAGGTTGGTAAGATTCGTTTATGTTTTTGAAGGAGATCAGCAGAATAAATAAATAAACAGAAAATAGCGCGTGAATACGAACGCCAATTCCACTGAATTGCTCTTCTTCAGACCGTAGAAATGTCACCATCTGAACAAGCTCGACATAGAAGTTTTTCGCCGTAGAAAAGCAACTCTTCAGCGCATTAAAGACGTATAAGTGCAGTCATATTTTGTTCATCTAAAGCATCACTGAAGTAATGATTTGTTATTTCAATTATTCTTTATTACTGTTATTTTTTAACGATTCAACAACATTACAAAGTAAACTATTGTAGGCTTTTTTAACAATAAAAAAAGTCTCTCCGGTATATTATATATGATTTTTTTTGAAATTAAATGTCATTTTTAAAAAGTTTATATGGTGTGGGACCAAAAAACTTGCAACCTTAATGAATAAGGTTTTAATGTCTTTTAAATTTTTTTTAATAAATTATAAAACTAAAACCCCAAATGTTTTAACAGTGGTGTATTTCCCATGGAAACATGAAGATGGGTGGGACATATCAAAGGCTTGTACCTTTGTGGCATTAATATTTATTGTCCGTTTTTCCCAGAAGAGAAAAAGCTGTACATTTTAAATAACCATGTTCTAAAATAGATCTTTTAGCAGTACACTGATCACAATAAATGGCATCAAAATGAATAAACATGGATTTTTATTCCATAAGGGCCTTCTCCTGTGTGTAAGATTACCTTCTTCTCATCATTAAAGGTGTAGTAGATAAACAGAATTCCATCCTTGTTGCCCTCTGCTCCTGAGAACTGTTCCAATGCAAACTGAACATCCACCCATTTATGAGGCTTCCAGTCTCGCCACCACTGCATGGTGCCTTTCTTCACCCACACAGACTAGAAAGGACAGGAATCAGGGTGAATTATCAAATGATTCTGATTTTCTTGGGGTAACTATATTCAGTTCTACCTAGCTGAGGGCCACTGTGCCACTAACTGATTGCTTTAACACTTTATAATAAATACACGCTAATAATCATTAGTTAAGCATGAGTAAACAGTTAATTCATCATTCATAAAGCATTAACATGCATACAGTATAATAAGCAATTTACAAATACATCTATAAACGCTTTCTTCTCGATTTAAAAGCATTCCTATAATTCGTTTAATAATTGTATTTTCATCCTTTATTAATGATCAATTTATCATTTCTAAATGAATTGCATTTTTCCTAAAGCAGTTATTTAAGAGTTGTCAGTGGTTCATAAGATTACTTAGAATGTTTAAGTAAATGATTAATAAACTATTTAAAAGTACATTCATACATCTTATTATTCAGACATTGTTAACATGCTTTATTAACATGTACAGTGATGTGAATAAGTTTTGGCACCCATGCTAAAGTTGCCTAAAAAGAGGAATAAAAAAATCATCTTTTGGGTATTGATCTTAATGCCTTAATTAGAAAAATGAGGAAAACTCCAACCTTTAAGGACACAAATTTTCTTTGTGAATGAATAATGTATCATAAATAAATAAATGTTTTTCCTTAAAATACAGGGAGGGAGGGTGCATAAGTCTGGGCACCCCTATGTTAAATTCCCATAGAGTCAGGCAGATTTTTATTTTTAAAAGCCATTTATTTCATGGATCCAGGATAATATGCATCCTGATAAAGTTCCCTTGGCCTTTGGAATTAAAATATCCCCACATCGTCACACACCTTCCACCACACCTAGAGATTGGCATGGGGTACTTTCCATAAGATCATCTTTCAATGCAAATCAAACCAGCTATTAGGCTAACTGAAGTAAAACTCTAGATGTGGTGGAAGGTGTGTGATGATGTGGGGATATTTTAATTCCAAAGGCCAAGGGAACTTTATCAGGATGCATATTATCCTGGATCCATGAAATAACTGGCTTTTAAAAATAAAAATCTGCCTGACTCTATGGGAATTTAACATAGGGGTGCCCAGACTTATGCACCCTGTATTTTAAGGAAAAACATTTATTTATTTATGATACATTATTCATTCACAAAGAAAAATTGTGTCCTTAAAGGTTGAAGTTTTCCTCATTTTTCTAATTAAGGCATTAAGATCAATATCCAAAAGGTGATTTTTTTATTCCTCTTTTTAGGCAACTTTAGCATGGGTGCCAAAACTTATTCATACCACTGTATTTATGCTGTAATTCAGGGTTAATTCACGTAGTTATAAAGCATTTAGTAGTGGTCAGTTAACTATGTTTGTGAGCTCATCTAAAATGAGGACTATTCATGCCTTTTAAAACATTTATAAAGGAGATATAAAGGCTGTTAAATATTTCGGTCCCACTTTATATTAAGTGGCTTTAAGTACCATGTACTTACATTGAAATTAATAATTTGATACAATGGACTTATTGTGTACATACATATTTTTACATTGTACTTATATTTAAAAAATACCAGCATGTAATTACAGCCGTAATTAATTTATGTAATTACATCTGTAATTACACAGCTGACCCATCCCTTACACTTAAACCTACCCTTAAACCTACCCATACCACCACACCTGTCCCTAACCTTACCTGTATCCCACCTCAATAGCACCAAAAGTGATTTACAATACAACATGAGCACAATAAGTACATTGTACTTATTTTTAAATGTAAGTACGTAGTACTTAAAGCCACTTAATATAAAGTGGGACCAATATTTCTATGTTCTGTATCACTGTGTTGTGTTAGTTACATTTTACTGTTTAGAAGATTTATGCACATTTAAATCTCCTTTATAAATGCTTTACAAGGCATGAATAGTCCTCACTTTAGATGAGCTCACAAAATAGTTAACTGACCACTACTAAATGCTTTATAACTACCTGTATTTACTACATTTACTTACACTTTCCAAGTGATCTTATGAATGACTGACAACTCTTCATTCACAGCTATACTTCATTTAGAAATTATTTATTAATCATTAAGCAAAGTATGAAAATACATTGAATTAATGACTTACTGTTTAACTGTTTACTCATGCTTAACAAATTATAAATAGCGTGCAGTTATTATAAAGTGTTACCAACTATTTTTTACTATTCCGACTAACTCTCGGAGCACTAGTATGGACACTTACTGTTGCTATATCAATGATGGTCTAGAAATAATAAAAAAATAAAAATAAAAAAAATAAAAAACATGACAAAACTGGTTAGTATTGATGCAAAGATCAGATGAGGTGAACCGTTTGGTGTTTGAGCACTACCTGTTCAATGGCCTGCTCATAATGCATGAAATTCTCCATTTCTCTCTTGGAGCGCTCGCTGAGCTGCTCGAATATCTGTTTACGCCATGCTGCAGTTTGAGCAGGTGTGATGGAGAGAGACATGGCCTGCATGGAGGAGTTCAGGGCTGAGGAGACAATTTGACACGGTCAGGGACAAAGTGAATCATCCAATTCCATTACGCAGATTATATTATACACAAATGACCCAGCTGACCTGTGGATGTAGATGAGTGGAACCAGTTGAGCTGTGAGTGACAGTCGACCAAACATCCCCCGCCACTGACCCAAGCCCATTTTGGATGCTCATCTGGCCCATAAGGCTCCTCTAGGGCCAAGTTATAGGTTGCTACAGAGGACAAGCTGCAGGTTTCAGCTGCGTCTACTCCTCCAGGTCCGGGCGAGAGGTGCGTCTGGGCTTCCTCCAGGTCCACATTGCTCCATTGAGGGTTCAGCCCACCTGATTGGCTAGGAGACAGAACCTGGGCTGGGGATGCCCTGTCCTCTACCTCTTTTTCTGGCTGATCCTCCTCAGGAATAGATGGGCCAGCTGGGGGGACGTCACGACGACTGATCTGGCCTTCACGATCAGACACAAGCTCAGAGATGAAGCTGTCACTGGTCACTTTGGGGATGCGTGGTTTAGGGCTGTCTCCCATTTCAAGAGATGGGTCAACTCCACCCACAGCTTTTTCAGTCTCAGGCTCCGCATCACTCAACACTGATGCTTGGGACTCCAAACGCACCTCACCACCAAAGAAACAACCAGCGCTGCGAGGTGTAGTGACAGAGTGTTACTTATGATGTACAATATCATAAGTTTGGAATCACTGAGACACGTTTATATAATTGATACTTCTGTATCATTTGATTGATAAAAAATTGTCAAAAGCATTCAAATGATTATACATTTTAACCTGTGATGTCAAAGCCATTTTTAATATCCATCAATCCAATTTATTAAGAGAACATCTAATGAAATTATCTAATCCTTCTTAATAAATAAATAAACCTTTTTAGCCCCTCTAATAAGAACTCAATGGAAAAACTGTCATCATAACACTTTTATATACCTATCATTTAATGAAAAAAAATAAATACATATTTTCTATTTAAAAAAAGAATACCTGACTAATGAAAAACTCTAAATATTATTTTTGTCACATATGACAATACATTGCTATTTAAAAAAGAATACATAACATTTAGTGAAAATTTCAGTCACATACTGTATGACAATGCATACTTAAAGGGCACCTATTATGCCCCTTTTTACAAGATGTAATATTGGTCTCTGGTGTCCCCAGAATGTATTTGTGAAGTTTCAGCTCAAAATACCCCACAGTTAATTTATTATAACCATTTGAAAATGTCATTTTGGGGCCTGCTTAAAAATGAGCGGTTTCAGGGGGTATTCCACCTTAAATGCAAATGAGCTGCATATCCCCGCCCTGCCATTGGATGAGGGCGTAACTTGATACCTATGGCAGGCAGTCGGTACTGAGAGAGTGAAGAGACGCGCCGTATTGAATGTCATTCAGAGTACGTTTGAATCGGAATATTTAAATAGTATGAAGAGACTCCGGCAGAATAAACAAATGAGAATGGACCAGTACGTCTCGGTATGGTTATTTGATACTTTTATGTACTTTGGAGTTGTAATCGCGTCCCATTTGAAATGATGGATGTCCAACACACACACACAGACACTAGCGCAATTTTTTGAAACTACATACATTCTGTGATAAAGTTTGCAACGTACGAGCGAAATTACATTTATGCGAGGCACCTGTGGCGTCATGTTTAGCTACTTGTCATAGGTGCTTCTGTGGCAAATGTGAGAAGATGGCTAACTTACAGAACACCAACATATATGTAGTTTTTAATACAATATCTTTAAAAATATATATATTTATAAACGTGTGGTTACACACTATACAAACAAGGTTTTAAATTATATACACAGACTTCCTATGACGGCAATAACTTTAGACGCATTTGTTATTGAATTGGCTGACATTGACTGAAAAGACTATTTGCTCAAAAATCATAAAATACACGTACTGTTACTGGAGGTGACGGTGGATCGCAAACAGTAGACGACAATCCACACTTGAGGATTAACTTTTAAGCCACAACAACAGGATTAACCCACGAGTCCACGACAGAACATAAATTTACGTTTCCAAGAGACATTACCGGCTGTCGACGTTGAAACAATGAAGGATGGTGTGTGTACAGATCACCGAGGGCGGGGTCTAGGCCACAGCCACACTGTCAATCAACCCCCTGTCTCCCGTTCTACGTCACAAAGACCTGGATCTCAGAACAGCTCGTTCTGAGGCAGTGCATATGATTTATTGAGATTGTAAAAAAACTACTGGATGGATTTTTATCATTCTAGGGTGGTTTTGCACACACACTGCCAACACACATTTATGTTCAAACACCATGTAAAAGTGAATTTTCCATAATAGGTGCCCTTTAATAAATGATCTTTTCCATTTCCTTTTGGTGGTAAAAGACCAAAAAGAAACATCTTTCTCAAGAAATTAATCAGTTTATTGTTATTTTCAGAGATAAAGGCTGGTCAGTGCTTAAGTGTGCAGTACTGATTTAAATAAAGAAAGCAAACTCTAGTCCTCTTTGAATGATTTACACCACCTGGTGGTGACTTTTTTAAATGCAACACATGTTGCACATTATATATGTATATCTATTCTACACAGGCTAAAGACTGAAGCTAACTAACCTCTGAAGGCTACTAGCACTGGCGCTTGAATGGGAACGGTCACTATCTCTGGGTACAGACACAAGCTTCCAGGCCTTCCCGCTCAGCTCGCTGGCAGTCACACCCTGACGGAAATACACCGCCCGGTCTTCAAAACCAATGCCCCACACCTGAACACAGAGTCACATCGGCCTTCAGAGATCTGTGTAATAACTGCTGAAATGGGTTCAGCACTTATAATTCTCACTAGAAACACATACTCGCATGAATACATGAATATAGCAGAATATCTGTTATTTTAACAGACCAATATTTGTACATTTGTGAGTGATATGTTTCCATTTTCATATAACGTTTTCGTATAATCAATACATTGATCCATATGAAAGTTTTCATGGCTAAGATTTTTATGCTTAATTGGGTTCATGACATCTTCTTGGTCTTTGTACAAGGCAAATTACAAAAATACATTATATTATATATATATATATATATATATATATATATATTAGGGCTGTGCAAAAATTAATTGCGATTAATCGCATCCAAAATAAAAGTCTGTGTTTACATAATATATTTGTGTGTGCTGTATATAATTATTTTGTATATAAATACCTATGCATGCATGTATATATTTAAGAATTATTTGCGCTTAAATTCTGTATATATTTCTATAAATACATAATCTATATTATATAAATATAAATATTTTATAAATGAATAACACATTTTCTTAAATATATACATGTGTGTATTTATATATACAAAATAATTATATACAGCACACACAAATATATTATGTAAACACAGACTTTTATTTTGGATGCAATTAATCGCAATTAATTTTTGCACAGCCCTAATATTAGGGCTGTGCAAAAATTAATTGCGATTATAATATATATATATATATATATATATATATATATAGCTGACAACAGGCAATGTGCATTTAAAGTGGATAAAAGAACTACCTCAAAATCGTTTGAATATGCCACTTTGACCATAAACTACCACAGACACATCCATGACTTCGTGTCATAGGATGTTATATACAGTAGGTCACTTTCAAATGAGTGTGAAGTTATCTTTTGCAGCTCAAAATTGTGTAAGTTCATTCGTATTTATCTCTTTATTTTATCTTTAAGTTTTTTTAAAATATTTTTATTAACCTTATAATTAAACTAGGATCTGTTTCTATCCGTTTTAATGACAAAAATAAAGGCATATAACCAGTTTATTTGTAGTGCACTGGCAACATAGTTTTATATAATTAGTTAAATAATAGGGTTAATAAAAAATTAAAAACTTAAAATAAATAATGACCGATGATTCCAATGTGTGTGCAAAGTTTCAAGAGTAGAGCATGTTGACAGCCCCATAAGTACCCGAAATTTGGAAAATAATTTTTTACCTTAGGAAAACAATTAGGCCCTAATAAAAAAATCCATGTCATGACTCATGACCCCTTTAAGGGTGAACCACCCATATGCTTATTCAATGGAAAAAGTACATTAGAGTCATGAATTAATAAGGTAAACCATAGACAGAACATTACTAATCTCTGACCTGGTCGTTGAGGCCCACGTTGATCATGACCATCTCTCCAACCATACCTATCCAACCAGAACCACAAGGATTATGGGAATTCACACCCCGTCTAAACCAGACCTATTAGAAATAAGAAGATGAGGAGAAAAAAAGCTAAGTAACAACAAAACAAAGAAATAAGTCCAAAACAGTTCAAAATTTGGGGTTGGTATTTTTATTTTTTTATTTTTTTAAATGTTTTTGAAAGAAGGCTCTTATGCTCACCACGGCTGCATTTATTTGATCAAAAAATACAGCAAAAAGAATTATCATAGTGAAATATTACTAGAACAGTTTCTATTTTTATATACATTTAAAAATTAATTTATTCCTGTGATGGCAAAGCTAATTTTTCAGGAAATATACAGTATTTGCAGTCTTCAGTGTCACATGATCCATCAGAAAAATCATGAGAAATATTATCAATTCTGAAATATACATTTTTATTTCAGGATTCTTTGGTGAATACAAAAAAAAAAAATTAAAAGAACAGCATTTATTTGACCTAGATTTACTGTCACTCTAGATATTTAATCTTTATATCAAATCTAATCTAATATTTAAGATTTTGCTAAATTTCTAGAATGGATAACACAATATGAATGAATAATACACTTTTTTATAATGAAAAGAAATGCTCAAAGCTGAAAAACAAACTTTTACTAATGGTCTCAGATTTTGGTCCCAACTCTATGTGCAAGTGTAACAATATAAAATAGGACTTACTTTATGATCTTTAGTGACAGCCCACACTACATTCACACCTACAGCTACGTGTACGGCTCCAGCTTCAGGGCTTGGCGACTCCACTGTGACCCATGATGACCCTTTGATTACAATATTATTAAATATAGACAAGGGATAGAAATACTTTCTACTCAAAAACATTTATTAAGGTTACAAATAGTAACTTGGCAAAAGTGAATATACTGCACCACAGCACTCACCATTGAGACAATCTCTGCTGATGCCCTCTCTGACCATCAGATTACCCTCCCACAGGACAGCCCACACCAGGTCACCCGGCCCACAGCTGATCTGCACCACCTCCCCTGGAACGGGCACCTCCTCCCAAAAGGAGCCCTCGGGATTATGGTGGTTGATGTCACACCGGAACCACACCTGCTCAAATGTACAAACAAAACTTTTTGGATCCATTTTTGTGGATAAATGGACGTGATTCAACTTTTTGTAGGTGTTCCAAGAACCAATAATGCATGCTGTACCCTCTGTACAGAATTGTAAAATGAATACATTTCAGGCGCACAGGGTGTTGTTGGACATGGGACAATATGTAAGCTTGGAATGAACTGAGTTCTGACCTTTCCCTGCAGAGAGACCGCCCACAGAGACAAACACCCTCTGGGCTCCTCGGTGATCTCCCAACCACCACAACTGATGTCATTAAACGGGTCAGGGAGAGACTCTGTCTGCTCCCCTGAAGGGATCTGCTCTCACATATAAAATTCACAGACACATAGAGACAAGTTTGTAATCAACGTTTAAAGACAGCCAATGAAGATAAGATATAATATATAATTGCTCCCAAAACCTTTGTACTGGTACACACCATGACCCATGTTTCCTGTGCCTTGTACCTTCTGTATCGTAACCATCTGCGGCGACGCACGCAAGAGTTCCACTTTTTGTCTTTTGTATAAGCGGCTGGAAAATCAATGGCATATGTCCATCCCTGAAAACACACAGAAGATCAGTTATGGCTTAAAGTAATTTAGAGCTCTATTTTAGGCTTAAAGGGTCTTTCAGACTGCCAGTTTAGTTCGACACACAGTGAAAGCTGTCATGCACATCGCCGTACCGAACATGAGACTACCTGAAATTGTTCAGAAAGTAAAACAGCATGTTTATTTAGACAATTTTAATACATTAATATATATATATATATATGTACTGTATATATTATATAAATTTGAGTGTGTGTATACATTTATACATACAGTATATATATATATATATATATATATATATATACACACATATATCTATATTCATATAAATATAACTATATATATATATATATAACTATACATACATATATATATATATATATATACAAACATATAATGTAAACAAAAACCTTTATGTAAGATATCGCTTTGACAGCAATAATTAATTTACAATTCCACCTTAAACTGTCAGAGAGAGAGATATATCAACCCATATATTGTCTATCAAATCATGTCTAAAGCATCAAAAAAGTAGAAAGAAGAAAACAAAGGAAAGGTAAAAGGACGGGAGGGGGGGGGGGGTAGCAATGGGATAAGGAAGGAGAGGGAAAGGAAGAAAAAGTAAAAATAAAACGAAGATGAAAAAGAAAGTGAGGGGGAAAAAAGGAGGAAAAGAAAGAACAAATCTTTTCAAGAACTGACTGACTACCCTAAAACACTCCAAACTGACATAATTTTGGTCATTAGTTTTGTTTGTCTGTATGTGTGATTTGTATACTCTTTGTAAGAATACCATACTTCCGTCAAATTTAAATTTGCTCTGCAAGTTAGTCTGGCAAAGAGCTCATGGGGTGCCATATCATGGCGTTCGCTTGAGATAGCGGGTCTCTCTTGAGGGGAATTTCCCACTGGGAGGCCACCAAAATTTCCCTCATGTCCGTGAACCAGGGCTGGTTCAGCCAGTTCAGGGCTACGAGGATCACAGATGTCTTCTCCTCCTCTGTGTGTTCTCGAATCAATCCCAAATCATTTGAGCCGAGCCAGGGTGAAGCCTCCACTCTCCTTGAGGAATCCCATTCCTCGATAGCATATCCTCCCTGTGGTTCAAGACACGGGGAATATGCGCTGCTCTTATAGAGAGAAAATGCCCGTCTGCCCACAGCAGGAGACTCGACCGCCTGCTCGAAAATGGCTCTGGCGTGCACGCCTCCTTGGTGATTTATGTACAAGACTACAGACGTGTTGTCGGTTAGAATCAGTACATGCTACTGCTCCAAACGAGACTGAAAAGCTTCGAGGGCTAGTGACACCACCTCCAACTCCAGGCAGTTCATTTGCCACTTCCTCTGCAGCTCAGCCCAGAGACTCGAGCCCGGAATGCCCATGCATACCGCTCCCCAGCCTGAGGTTGATGCATCCGTCAAGATCGCCGTGTGTCGCGTCACGATACCCATAGACACTCCTGAGCTGAATAACTCTGGGTTTTTCGACGGTACCAGAGTGCAGGCACAACTGTAAGTAACCGTGATGCGCCAGAAGACCATGCCCTTGGAGGTACTCGAGTTTTCAGCCAGAACTGTGGCGGTCGCATATGCAGCAGACCCAGATGACACACTGATGAAGCTGCTGGCATCAGTCCCAGAAGCCTCTGAAACTCCTTCAGTGACACAGACCTGCCTGGTTTGAAACGGCGTAGAGATGATGATATTGTCTCTATGCATTCTATATGAGAGATGGGCTCGCGTCATCATAGAGTTCAAACATACACCCAGAAATGTTGCAGTCTGACTCAGAACGAACACACTTTTCTGTTTGTTTACGCGCAGTCCCAATGAATCCAGGTGGCGAAGCAGTGCTTCCACATGACCGATTAGCACATCTCTCGAGTGGGCTAGAATCAGCCAGTCGTCCAGATAGTTGAGGATGCGCATTCTACTCGATCTGAGGGCAGAAAGCACCACGTCTATACACTTCGAAAAGGTGCGGGGGGCCAGATCCAACTCGAATGGGAGTAGTGATGTATTGTGGTGCGTCACTATCTGGATATGAAAGTATGCGTCCTTTCAATCCACCAATCCCCGGGACGAACTTGTGCCAGGATCTGCTTCAGCGTTGTCATTCTGAACGCGCTTGTGAAGCGCTCAGTTGATGGGTCTCAGGTCCAAAATTCAACCACTTCTATCGCCCCTTTCTCGAGCAAACTGCAAACTTCCTGTCTCAGAACGGGGGCGTTTTGGGGCAAAGATAATGACCGATTGACAGGGTGGTCTGCATCTGACCATGCACCCTATGCCAAGCACCCATGGTGAAATCCCCGGAATAGTTTCCTATGCGCCCAGAAAGTGACAGAAGCCGCTTTCCGACCGGAGGGACTTTTGCAGTTCCTAGAACCTAACGTTCCTATAACCCTTTTTTCTCGTGATCCGACCGGACTAAATTGGGGATTTTTTAGTTCCTCAGACCGTAGTTCCTATAACTCTTTCAGTACCTAGTCTAGAGCGAGGACTTTTTTGGTTCCCTTTCCCTAGGTCTACGTTGATTGGTTCAACTTATAAGTCATGCCCACTGTCAACACGGAACTTGTAGCGTGCTGTCTGCCATACGCTGTGTGTTTTTGCAAAACATTACAACGAGGATTAAGACAAACATAACCCATTCAACCAGCTAATTGCTAACGCTAGCTAAACTTACTCGTCGTTTTGTTTGCCTCCTGCACTCTGCTCTTTTATCTTCTTCCATCATAATACTTAATATCATATTACGCTGGAGCCTTCGTCTTCTGTGTTTCTCTGTACAGAACTCAAGCATAATCTTTAAACGCCGCCGTTCGTTCTCCGTTATTAGCCTCCTCCATGCTGGTTTGTTGTTGTTGTATGTGGCCGCGCTACGTCTAGTGATGACGCTATAAAGACCGTCGCCATGCTTGCGTTACCCCTCCTACCATTTCCTATATCCACTTGGCCAGTGCGAACGCAAGCAGCAAAACCGAGTTTGGGGGAGAGTAGTTCTTAGAACTGTTTAGAAGTGGACAGTTCCTATAACTAAGTTCCTGTAACTACTTGGTCGGAAAGCGGCTTTAGTGGGCGCGCTAATTCTGCGTTCATCGTTACTAATGCCGAGGTGCTTAAACTGGAGCCCCACCCCTGCATGGCTGATAGCTTCGACGGGAGCATCAGCTGGTGCACGTTAGTGGTGCTTTGGAAGCTAATACTGCTGGAGATGATTCGGGTGAGGTCTGTGCCCCTTTACCGATCAGAGCATGTGCTGACACGGAGTAAAGCCTTGTTTATACTCAACGCGTCTGCACAAGCGCAAAGGTGCGTCCGGCAAAAATGACTCGTTCGGTGTGCAAGTCCCCATTTCGCTTGACTGTGTGTGCACGCCTTTTTTTGTTTCAATGCTGCATCCGAGGATGAATGACTTCAAGCCGAATCTGCCCGAGCATGTACGTCTCACCGCACCGCGCACCCAGTTTGCGAATTGCAAAATTGCAACGTTTTTTTGTTAAGGTTTTGTTACTGTGTTATTTATTTAATGGAAAGCACATTCACTTCTAGCTGTCTTGCTGTTCATTTTATATAAACGTATAGCAAGTTGCTAATCAGTGTCTGCTCGCTTATTTTAAACTAAGTAGTTCTATAACAGATGAACATCGCTCTGCATACGTCATCATCTTCATCACTCTGATTGGTTGTAAGTCTATCCAATTGCGCCCAGAGGCATTTTTGAGCTACAGTACGTCTGTTGGTGACACCCCATGGGAAATAATTTGTCTATGAAGCTTTGGCAGACCATAACTCAGTTACAACTGAGAATGGTCTGGTTTTAACCAGGCTAAGAATACCACATTTGTAATTAAAACATGTGGTAAATCTTCATAAAGTAAATTAAATCCACAAGGGGGTGACAAGTTTTGTCACTTTTCTGAACACTATAGCACTGAAGTAATAATAATAACAATTAAAAAAAATTATATTTTGACCCCAAAACCCTCTTAAAGGCATCAATACTGACCCCTTTTTCAGTGGTCTCTCCTCCAAAGTTTTCATCCACGTACCAGTCCGCCTCCCACTCCCAGTTGTCAGAGGGTAGCTGAAATTCACCCAGAGGCTGGTGCTTCAGCCCTGTGACATCACTCCACTGCCAGCGGTCACTGGGCAACAGCCGGTCCGAGAAGCCATCCACAGGGTTCCACCTCTGAGAAGGAACAGGAAACACAGTGAGTCTTATTCACTTTAAGGTGCTGTAGAGTCAATGACAAAATAAAAAGTGTTTACAATAAAGTCTATTATAAAACACATGTGCAAAGTTCAAATAATTAACTCTTTGTATTCATGTTGGTTTTGAGAAAAAATTTTAAATGTAATGTGGCATAAAAGTAAAATAAAAAGTAATAACATTTTCATATACCTTGAATAAATGTGAGTGAACAAATCGTAATATTTAATATATATTTTCAACATTTACTTTTTTCAGTAAGGACACTGGTCAAAAAGTGACAGTAAAAACATTTGAAACGTAACAAAAGATTTCTACTTCAAATAAATGCTTTTCTTTTGAACTTTCTAGTCATCAATAGGGGTGTGCGATATTGACAAAAAATGATATCTCGATATTTTTGGGGATTTTGCCGATAACGATAATCAGACGATATTTTGCATTATTCAAAAATGTGTTTTTAAATGTCTTTTTTTACTAGCTCCGTTTTACATTGTCAATAGTATATTGATATATTACTAATTGAAACATTGTTGAAAAAAGTATTTATTTAAAACTGAAGCATTCAAGTAGAAACAACACAAATCACTGCTCTGCTATAAGGTGAACTGTGCAGAATGCAAGCAAATATGACATTAATAAAAGTATCTAATGCAAACTTATGTCAAAAACATCACTAGAAAATCTTTGTAAACAAATTACTCCCTTCTGTAAAATGTGCTATAGTCAAAAATACAAAAAACTAGCCCATTTATTCTCTCAATTAAATTACTGACTTAAAGTTCTGTCCAATATTGCACAAAAAGTAAACGGCTGTAACAGCTGTAAAATTAGAAACCCTTCAGATTTGTCAAATCTTGCACTAAAGAAAAAAATATACTGATTTAAAGACTAAAAGGTAAAATAGCCTTTATAATGTAAAAGTCACTTGAACAGAGGAAACAGGCTTTCAGCAGCTTGAACAATTTTTTGCCATTAACTGGGTTTCTTTGGATCTACATGCGTTTCAAGTTGTGTGATAAAAACACCAGCCTGTCCACAGCATCTGGCTTGAGAGCTGCACGGTGACATGTAACAATATTTCCTCCTGTGCTGAAAGCCCTCTCAGAAGGGCTGCTTGAGGCAGGGATGCATAGGTACTTTTTTGCTAGTTTCCCAAGTCTGGGGAAATTTATTTCTTGTGTTTTCCACCAGTCAAGTGGGTTTACATCACTGTCCACCTCTGGTATCATTAAGTAGCTCTGGATCTCCTTTTCTATAGCAATGTGCAGAGACTCGCCTCTGAATTCCTGTGGTTTCTTGAAATAACTGCCAAAAGACTTTTTGGTCTTTTTTGCTGGCTCAGAGGCGTCACCTGCTTCAGGTTCCACTGTTGTAGCCTGAGCAGCAGTTGATGGGCCTGGGGTAGGGCTGTCTTCCTCTGTCACCATAGCTAAGAGTTCTGCAGTCACTGCTGTCTCAATGGTTTTGATCCTGCCATCATTGTTATAGCGGTTTTTGAACCGTGGGTCAAGTGTGGATGCCAAACTCAACAACTCTTCCACACAGTCTTCAGAGTACTTTGTGTTCAGGTACTCCAAAATGGTTTGTTTGATTTTTTTGGTAAGCTCTGTGTCATCAGACTTCACCGCCAGAACTTCAGTGTTGAACAAGGACAACACAGGTTTTAAGTAAGAAACTGTTACAAGTTGCTCACCTGACAGAGCGTCAGTAAATTCTAGCAGAGGTCCAAGTGCTTTGCTTACTGCCTCCAGCACCTCAACATCTTGCCATGTTGGCACAAGGTGCCTGTGCTTTTTGTCTGCAGTTAAAACATGACGAATGGCTTTTTCTTGCTCAAGAAACCTCTCAATCATGCGCTGTCTTGAGCCCCATCTTGTTGGTGACTCTGTGATCAGTTTGTGTTGAGGAAGCTTAAGCTGCTCTTGTGCATCAGCAAGAGCTTTTTTCTTTTTCCAGCTGCTGGAAAAAGCAGCGACCATTTTCTTGCAAACTCCAATGGCTCTGTCTATTCTAGGGTCCCGCATGCTCCTCTCTGGAAAACATTTAAAATAAAACATCCATTGAACATTCAAAGTGTGAAGGTATGAATGATACTTTATATTATTTTATATTACTGTTTATATACACTACCGGTCAAAAGTTTCAGATCGGTAAGATTTTTTATGTTTTTAAAAGAAGTCTCTTCTGCTCACCAAGGCTGCAATTATTTGATAAAAAAATACAACAAAAAAAAAAACAGTAATATTGTGAAATATTATTACAATTTAAAACAGCGGATTTCTATGTGAATATATATATAGTGAAGTGTAATTTATTCCTGTGATCAAAGCTGAATTTATCATCATTACTCCAGTCTTCAGTGATCCTTCATGATCCTTCAGAAATCATTCTAATATGATGATTTGATGCTCAAAAAACATTAATTATTATTTTCAATGTTGAAAACAGTTGTGTAATTTTTTTCAAAATTCTTTGATGAATAGAAAGTTCAAAAGAACAGTGTTTATTTAAAATAGAATCTTTTCTAACATTATAAATGTCTTTACTGTAACTTTTGATCAGTTTAACTCATCCGTGATGAATAAAAGTATTGATTATATTTCTTTCTCCCAAAAATAAAATTTAAATTCTTACTGACCCCAAACTTTTGAAGGGTAGAGTTGAATGTTACAAAAGCTTTAGATTTCAGATAAATGCTGTTCTTTTTTAGTTTCTATTAATCATAGCATCATGAAATAAAAATGTAAAAAACTGTTTTCAACACTGATAATAATCATAAATGTTTCTTGAGCATCAAATCATCATATTAGAATGATTTTTCAAGGAACATGTGACACTGAAGACTGGAGTAATGATGCTGTAAATTCAGCTTTGATCACAGGAATAAATTACAACTCTCTATATATTCACATAGAAAACCGCTGTTTTAAATTGTAATAATATTTCAAAATATTACTGTTTTTTTGTATTTTTTATCAAATAATTGCAGCCTTAGTGAGCAGAAGAGACTTCTTTTAAAAACATAAAAAAATCTTACCGATCTGAAACTTTTGACCGGTAGTGTGTATACGTATATGTATAATATATATATATATATATATATATATATATATATATATATATAAACTTTTATTTTATTCTTTTTATTTTTTATATTCCTGTCATTTTATTTGGCTATATTACAGTTTTAAAACAGCATTGCTTATTTTATTCTTATTTGTATTTCTAATAATTCCAAAAAATACAATTCTGTTTTATGCAAATTTTATTTCATAGAACCACCAAAATTGCTTACCAATGGCAATACCAATTTAACCAATTACCAATTTGGCCTGTGGCCAAAACAAGGAAGCCGCTGCCAGTTGTTAATCCGCAGTGCACTGACAACGTTAGCCCCGCTGTCTGTTGTCATGCAAACCATGCGATCTTCGGGCAACGACCATGATGCCAGCGCATCCTTTAGACCTTGAGCAATTATGTCGCCTGTGTGGTCATCCGGAAAGTACGATGTCTGCAGACAGTAGCTTTGGAGTTGCCAAGTTTCATCAATGAAATGTGCCGTAAGGGAGAGGTATGGCTCTGACGTTCTGCTTGTCCACAAATCGGTTGTTGTGGCAAAATGTAAAACCTTCTGCACTTCATGCGCAAGAGTTTGGCGACATGATTCATACAATTTAGGTAGCGCTGTTTCACTGAAGTATTTTCGTCCAGGCAGTGTGTATCTTGGATCTAACGTCTTTAAAAGCTGTTTAAAACCATCTCTCTCAACCGCTTGAATTGGCACCATGTCTCTGGCAATGTAATTGGTGACCGCGTTTGTTATATCTTGCCATCTGTCGCTTTTTCTGTCGTAAGGAACTTTCTTGGTAAATGAATCGGCCAACGTTTGTTGCGTGTGTTTTTTTGGTTTTACCCTGTCAGCTGCAGGCGCGTCGTCTTCGGATGACTCGCGAAGCTTTTCATAATTCTCATATTCAGTGCGGTGGGTAGTTCGAAGATGATGAAAAAGATTGGTCGTCGAGCTGCTTTTTACTATCACCGATTTTCGGCACATTTTGCAGATCGGCGTCTTTTGACTAACATCTGACCTTTCAAAACCAAACCACCTCCATGCTAGTGATGACGAACCACGTCTAGGAATTAAATCTAGCGTGGATTGTGAGTTTGCTGGTGTTTGAATATCTTCTTCTCTCCCAGTTTCTTTGCTCATTTTAACTTCTGTCAAGCACCGCACGCTCTGAATGCACGTGTGTCACGTGTGCACCCTTGCGCGCCGTCAATTCGTGAACAATTGATGCAGCGTTTTGATTGGTTTCTGAACATGAGTGACATACTCGATAATATGATTTTGGATATCGTTTAAACAACAATCACGATATTATCGCAAACGATATATATCGCACACTCCTAGTCATCAAAGAATTCTGAAAAAAAGTTTCGACAAAATTATTAGGCAGCACAACTGTTTTCAATGTTTCTTGAAAAATCCAAATCAGAATGATTAAAGTAATTTCTAAGGAATCCTGTGACACTGAAAACTGGAGTAACAGCTGCTGAAAATACAACTTCGAACATTTTAAAATACATTAAAAAGTAAACTGTTATTTTAAATTGTAATATTATTTCACAAATGTCAAATATCAAATAATTGCAGTCTTCAGGAGCATAAGACACTTCTTTCAAAAAACATTTTTAAAACTCTTACAGACCCCAAACTTTTGAATGATAGTATGCATGTGTATATATATACACACATACATACAGTATATTGACCTACATGTCAGTCTGTACATTGCTATTGAGCACACCTGGTTTTCATACGTCTCCTCTTGGTAGCGGATGGGCACATCACTGGCATGGACATTCAGGTAGATGTTGTGGTCACATGCGATGCTCCAGCAGCACTGCTGCACAGCTGTGATGCGCTTGAACTCCAAGTGGGCATCGCGGCAATATTCCCACTGCTGTCCAGCGGTGGAAAGGCAATAAACCCTCCCGTACACATCAACAGCCCACAGGAAGGAGCTCGGCATGATGCACCCTGCTGCAACAGACAAGAGAAAGAGATCTGCAGATAAACAAACACATCAGCATCAGTTTGTGGCTACAAAAAGTGTTTAGAATCAAGGGCTCTGGGTTAATTACTCTCAAATTGACATGAATTTCCTCCCTGCTCTTTCCTCTGCTTTGAAAGCAGATCTGCAGTCAGTCAGCTGATTCTCATTACTGATCTGCAAGCTGCCACAACACTGAAGGAGACCTGTTAAACACTGTTATTTTGTTGCCTCCTAAGCTAAAATGAAACCCAAGGTCCCAGAAATACACAATAAACTCCATAAAGCTCCAATTAAACCACAGACCAATCTTACAAAACAATGCGGTGATATCATGTTATAGTATTATATTGTAATACCATGGAACTGAATGATTACCATATCCAATTACTATACACTATACATTAATTTGCAGCTATGGTAAAAATTGAATTAATATGGTACTACGTAAAAAAAATGGTAAAACCATTTATTTTTGTACTTTATTTATATTATATTAAAAAACGTTACTGAAGCAAATTATCGAATGAGGAAAAATAACAATTCCTGTTGTTGAGCGCTTGTTTGTTGATGCATGTAACGTTAACATAATACCGGTTACTAGCATTGCTAGCTAGCAATGACAGCATATAAGAGATAAATATAGAATAACGTTACTTCACAACAACATATTATATGGGGGAAAACAAGAATACAACTAAGATACAGTCAGAGAAACATATACTGAAATGAATGACTGCACCTGCCTGTCTTCCGCAGTGACAGGTTTATGTACATTAGAATAGGGATGAACATATCCTAATAGTTTTGCATTCACATCGTGGGTGACATTATCAGCTGCTGTCCAGCATATTGTTACATACCTTGTCTGTGTCAGGGTGTAAGCACTGTGCTTATGTTTTCATTTTGAGACCATTCAGCTTTGCGAAATCGTTTTGTGATTTGCCCATGGATTTGCCCGATGTGTAGACTCAGAGATCCCAAACAGGAAGTGGTAAGAATTGTGTTGTGTTGCACTGCCTTATTGACCCGGCAGGGGATGCCATTATCAAAGATGATGGGATGGATGGTTAAGGTTGGTTCCCTTAAAACATCACCTGTACATCACCTCACATTGTTTTACTTTCCCACCCAATAACCATCTAAATGTACACGTACAAGATAGTCCCTGTCACAACAGAATGTTGCGAGGCAACAAAAGTAACTATCTGTTGGTGCGCAGTGATAAGCTATAAGGCCTTATCATACATGTAGTCAGATTTTAACTCTAGGTCATATAGAGAGAGATGTGTGTGTGCTTGTGTGTATACAGGTGAAGGTATGATTAACAGAAACATCCAAATCAAAAGTAGCTGTAACCTACTTTTTTTAGTTTTTAGTCTTAGCCTTGACAGGCAAGGCAACTTATAGGCTAGCACTTTTCATAAATAGGCCTATGGCAATTCAAAGTTCTTTACATAGACTGGAAATAATCACAAAATAAAAGCAAGGAAAATTCAAACAGTTATTCAAAAGCTTTACATAGAGGGAATTATAATAATCACACTGTAGCAATTCATAATTGACAATAATTCGTTATTGTTTTGACATTAGAATCTCCAGAATCACAACGAGATTCCTGTCTTGATTTTTAGTTGTTAGACCCCTAGCGCCAAGGTATGCATTCACCTTGAGAACTTTATCTTTGTTTCCAAACGCAATGACTTCAGTTTTGTCTTAATTTGTTTAACTGAAGAAGGTTTTAACACATTCAACTGTTTACTTCATCAATGCATTGGCACAGGGAGTCAATGGGGCTGTAGTCCTGTGGTCATTCATACTGTCCAGATGTGTGTGTGCCACACACTGCAGAAAGATGATGGAGGGACAAGTAGATATTGTCGTTTAGCACTCTTGAACCAAGTTTGTTTAGGTGATGTCCATCCTGTTGAAACAGTTGTCTCTAACTCCAGAAAAGATTGAAGTTGTCAATGAAGTTCACCCCTTTTACATTGCAGTTTTCTTTGCAGCCATGTATTAACCATGAAAACCTGTTTGTTCCTCTTGCTGGTGTGGTCCAATGATGAATGTCTGAACTTTCAGTTTTTTAAGTGTTTCAAAAAGTTCATTGAAATCCTTCTTAAGGAGTTCTGACTGATGTAAAAACATTCTTCCACAAACAAATGATAAGTGAATTTGCAGTCTTATGTTTCATCAGAATGTTCTGAAGTTCCCTGTTTACATCGGAAGTTGTTGCTTGTGGAAGTCACCCACTATCAGAGTCCTGTGCTCGGCTGCGTTCTGAGCTGAGTGCCGCTGTTTTGCTCGACCTTGAGCGCCAGTTAGCATCAGTGTTAGCTACTGGCTGATTCGACTACAGCACTAAAATTTAATAACTGTTCTCCATGTGATATGGCCACCTTATCCTTGCAGGTGTATGCCCCAGTCCTCAGAAAACCTTCCCCCTCTCCCATTGTCTTCGGCCCTAAACCAGTTCTCTTCAAAGGCCGTTATCACCTCGGCTCCCCTGAACAATCTCACTAAGAGACATTAGTTTTAATGTAGATAAGATGGAACAAAGACTTTCTCCAGGTCATCTTAGATTGGTCACATCATCAAATAGGTGTGAAGTGAACTAATAGGACCCTTAAAAGTTTTTGATTACGTCAGAACTTTGCTCAACATCTTTGAGACACCATCATCCGTCTTCCGGCAACTTCATCTTCAAGTTAACTTCTTTAGATTTTACGTGGACCACCATAAAAACCCAAACGAACACTTCAGCGCACTCCTGGAAAAATCATCAAGAATCTCCGGCATCTGGACTTGTTCAGCAAACAAAAACCAATGCAAGAACCTTTTTAAGGTGACCCCGATCCTCTGATGTTTCTCGTAGGTTGTGGTTAACTTGTTCTAATCTTGCCATTCTCTTTTCTTCTCTCTCTCTCTCTTCACTTTATTGATTCTGTATACAATCTTTGCTTAGTTTAGTTGTGTGTGTAGCCTACCGTCCATCCATCCAACCATCTGTCCATTCATCCATCCATCCATCCATCCATCCATCCGTCCATCCATCCATCCATCCATCCATCCATCCATCCATCTTCCGCTTATCCGGGGCCGGGTCGTAGGGGTCAACAATCTAAACAGAGATGCCCAGACTTCCCCCTCCCTAGACACTTCCTCCAGCTCTTCCGAGGGGACATTCCCAGGGAGGCATTCCCAGGTCAGCCGGGAGACATAGTAGTCTCTCCAGCGTGTCTTAGGTCTTCCCCGGGGTTTCCTCCCAGTGGGACGTCCCCGGAACACCTCCCCGGAAAGGCGTCCAGGAGGCATCCGGTACAGATGCCCGAGCCACCTCAACTGACCCCTCTCGATGTGGAGGAGCAGCGGCTTATTCTGAGCTCCTCCCTAGTCACGAGCTTCTAACCCTATCTTTAAGGGATCACCCAGCCACCCTGCGGAGAAAGCTCATTTCGGCCACCTGTATCCGGGATCTTGTCCTTTCGGGCATGACCCAAAGCTCATGACCATAGGTGAGAGTAGGAACGTAGATTGACCGGTATATCGAGAGCTTTGCCTTATGGCTCAGCTCCTTCTTCACCACAACAGACCGGTATATTGACCACATTACTGCTGAAGCTGCACCGATCCGTCTGTCAATCTCCCGTTCCAACCTTCCCTCACTCGTGAACAAAACCCCAAGATACTTAACCTCCTCCACTTGAGGAAGAATCTCTCCACCAACCTGAAGTGAGCAAGCCACCCTTTTCCGACTGAGGACCATGGCCTCGGATTTGGAGGTGCTGATTTTTTTATGATGTCTCTTGTAGTCTACCGTAGTTTCTTTTATTAAACCATTATATTCACATGGTATTGTCTCTGTGTTTGCCACTCACAAAAATAGCTAGTATTTGACTTACTTAAGCTGGAAAAGGTTATTCTTTCTTGGCCAGGAAGACACTGTATTTCCTAGAATTAATGAATGATTATGCTTTGAGTTCTGCTACAGTCAATTCTAAAACATTTAAATATGTATAATTAATTATAATTCATTAAAATTAATTTATAAATATATATAAATAAATATATATATAAACATATTTTAAACTGTAACTCGATACACACTCTAAGTTGTACAAGGTCAACAGTGCTTGTAGAGTTGTAATAAAAATCCAAGGCATTTTCATACATATGTTCATATATCTTTATTTCGGAGTAATCTGGTATGACAAGAAATGGGGCAATGAATCAATATCACAACACAAAAAAGAAAAAGGTCTGAAATTAAACTGTTTCCCCTACATAAAAACATGTTTGCAAAGGCATAATTTGTACATGTTTACATGTTTAATTAAAAAAAAAAAAAAAGCATTTCTATTCCATGGAGAAAAAGAGATTCGTTTGAGATGATGTCCAGATAAAGCTGTGAAAACAATCAGCTGTGCAGCTAGTAGGAATGTTATCACCACACATTACACTTATCTTTAAATGAGGAATAAACTATTTAACGAAGTGTCTTTACATTTCTCTCTTTAAAATGTGGAAAATGTGTGAAGGATAAGGAACATATCAGCATTTTAAAACAAGGAAATCATGATATTGTACAACAAAAACAGGCTAAAATTGATCAATTCCAACCAGAACAATTTGGCAACTGGTAAATCTAACACGACTTCACTGGATTTTGAAATGAAATATGATTTGGGCATGTGTGGTGTTTCTAATTAGGGACTCCAATACTTCAAATATACATTTGGGATTTCAGGTTTACCTTCACATGTCCCCAGACATAGGACCAATATGGTCAGAAAATATATATTTAAGAGTCTGTTTGGTGCTGTGCATTTTCTTGGAAACACAAGTGTGTAAATCCAGACACAATTTAAAATAATAATTTAATCAAAGTCTAAAATTCTTATAAATAATGCCTCCTGTAAATATGCTGGCTTGTATTTTTAAAAAAATTTAGGATTAAACTTGATGCTGTAACAGAATCCTTTAATTTGGTTCTTCTGCCATATCTGCAATGCATCAATATAGACACTTCACTTTGGGGCAGGGGCTGAATGAGCGATTATCATATATGTGGTGCAGATCTGTCATTTGTGATGGTGGGTCGTAGTTTGACCGTGGAAAATGGATTCCCACCCCTGAGGAGGAAAACAAGCATTGTGATTACAGAGTAATTTGGTAATATGGGGAATTAATTCTGTTAAAAGACGCTCACCCAAGGAATGGAGGTGCTGAATGACCATTTGGCAAAGACACCTGTTGCAAACACAGAAATAAGAATTAGAAGTGATCAGCATAAACGGTGATTCCATTCTTTAGAACATGCAAGAGCAGAGTTGATTTTCCCTGTCAGACTGGTTCGATTAGGACGTCAACACATAATTCTGTCGTTTCACCAGCCGACTAAGTACCTGGAACAATCACTGTGTCCTATGACCTCATCATATGCGTCAGGAATCTTGATAATCTTGAAATGCTTGCTTTCTCTGCCTTAGTGTTGAAAATCTAATCAAAACTACTTTAAAGAGGCGATGAACTGTAAACAGTCATGGAAGATGCACATAACCTTAAATGAGAGAAGGATGGAGTATCTTAGAGTTCAATCTGACAAGTTTTGGCCTTATTACATATTAATAGAGTAGTTCACTCAAAAATGAACATCGTCACAATTTACTTCTGAACAACAACAAAGCGACCATGGGCTGTCAAGCTAAACAAAAAATATGATCACATTCAAGGTGAATTAGTTGCGTCTAAACACTTTCAATTTGATCTCGTTGCCCTGAGGCAGTACATGTGTCTTGAGGTCATTCAGGAGAGGGAGCCAGATACACATCACATACAGTTTGCCGTAAGTTAACATAGAGCAATAGTCTCCACTCTCCGGCAAAATGAGAAAACCAGGTAGGGAACATTTTTTAGATGTCTTTTTATTTTTCACAATGATAGCAATGCAGAGCATTCATCTACCACTCCTTAGGCCCCCTGGCAAAGAACAAAGGTTAAATTATTGTAGGTCTTATAAGTAACTTTTAACTTATGTAGATCTAATTTGTACAATTTAAAGCCTATTGTATAACTGAACAAATACATCGAGGTCCTAAAGAAACTGCTACTGAAAATATTTGCATATGAAGAGTTCAGATGCAAAAGCCTCTAAATGC